ATAGTGATACGGCGAAAAGGAAATCAAGTGTTTGTGAAATGGTTAGGATTAGGTCAGTCTCATAATTCTTGGATCTCAAAAACTAACGTTCCTTACAACGTATATATAAAGACCTATATAAAAGTTCACAAGACTTTATTAACAATCGAACATTACAAATACATTATTATTATTATTCTTTACAATTTTTTTCTAAAATTAAATTCATTTATTCGCATTTAATCTTTTTATCAACCAATTACCCCACGCCAAAGTATTACATCCGTTCGGTAATATGTATCGTTTATCATCGCACGATGAAAGAGCAATTTTATTCTTTAATTCGGTATACATAGTATGAAATTCTGACTTAAAAATGTACATTTTTTTATGAATCGATCCGCCACATTCAACCACACGTTTATAATCGGTCACGCTTAAATGTTTATCTATAACATATTTCTTTACTCCTTTAGCCTTTTTTACATTATCATTCAACAAGGTGATGCAGTACGCCTTAGCTCCTGTTCCAACAAATGACGTTATGCACCTGTTTGGATATTCATCTTTCATTCTTCCCAACACAGATCGACCGCGAGGTATATTGTGTNAAAAAAAGTACCCCCACTCTAACTCCGCCCATTCCCCACTCCTCCCCCTTGTCACGCCCCACCCCACGCCCCCCTTCATTACTTTACTATAAGAAGGCACCTCCCAGCCTTTGAAAGTCACTTCAGTGTTTGTGTTCTTCAGTTTTTTGGTAAGTACAACTTTCTTTATTATCATGTTTATATAACGTTCATTTTCTCTCCATCACTACAGCTCTTTCTACAACTTTCTCTTTTTTTGGTGAGTAAAACTATATTTGTTTTGCATTTTTATATAATATTTAAAATTATTTTTTTCCCAGTCCTAGACATCCTTCAGCTTTCTCTTTTTTGCTGACGTGTTTTATTTGGTAAGTAACCTTTTTTACTTTGCTTATACATATAATATGTAAAATATTCTTGTTTTGTTTCATCATAACACCTCTTTCTACTTTGTTTTTGTGAGTACAACTTGTTTATTTGTTTGTTATGTTAAATTGTTATTTTTATTTTTTCAATTCCTACAGGACCTTACTGCTGATCACTTCCATTTTTTGTTTGATCAGTTCGATCAGTTTTGATAACTTCGTTATCTCGGCGACTTTTTTCTGGTAAGTATAGCCTTCTTTTTCTTTGCATATATTGTTGTGTAACGGTTTTGTTTTCCGTTACTTATATTTTTGTGTTTGGTTAAAATTTTTTTTAAAATTTTAATTCAAATTATCGTTGGAGATTGGTTGTGAGATTGTCGCTTTTTGATTGGTTCGAAGGTGGTTTGTAGCGAGCGACGGGTGGTTGATTTCTTGATTTGCCAGTCTCGTTCTAATCGTTGAGTAACGATAGTCATTTTTATCTTACGCTCCGTAAACATTATAAGAAAGCGTGGTTATTTAAGAAAAAGTTTTCAATTGTTGAATTTTTGGTTGTGATAAGGCTTTTTCGTCACGTTGTTGTAGATTTGGACTCGTTTTTCTTTGGAAATCATATCGATTTACGCCGATGTATTCGGATTTAAAACGTTAAACACGTGAGACGTTCTTTAACCCTTAACTGGTCCGGTGACTCATTTGTCGCACTAACAGTCAGGCGTAGTCTCCAGGACTACTTAACTTAATAGGTCAATAAGACTGCAAATGTGCAAATAAACTCAATATTTTGTTCATTACTGGATACTATAGATATTAGGAAACTTGTATGCATAGAAATAAACTGAACTAAAGCAATATATAAAAAGAGTTTACCTAAATTATAATTTTTTCCGAAAAGTTAATTAAATCTAGTTTTATAGTAAGTACTTAATTATTATAAAACCTTAACAAACTTTCGTTTATATTATTAGTTATGTTAGGTATTAGACAAACTAAAAAATAAAGGATAAATAAATTTGACAAAAATATCATATTCCAGCAAGGGCCAAAGTTTTTTATTTTTCAGCGCAGTCATTGCAGACTGGTTTTGTACATTGTAGACAAACCGGCTTTTTGCAAGCAAGACACAAGTATTTTGTCATTCTATGTTTCTTTGAACGACACAAGTAGCAAATTTTATGTTTTTCTAGAATCAGATCATATGTCTTGGGTTCTTCTGCACCTGGGACTCCAAGTATTCTACCAATAGTACTGCGTAGTTCGCGTGGGATAACCGACATCGTCAACCGCCGTCTCATGTGATCCTCTACCAATTGCTTGGCTAGCTGCATTCCAAAAATACTTTTTTCTTTAATGGTTGGATTATCTCTATAACATTGGTGTAAGATATATGAATTGATCACAGAAATGTCTAGTAGGCGAAAAAAAATTGCTAAAGGCCATCTTCGAGTGCGACGACTTGAGGTGCTTTTCGAACATTTTTCGTCCAGAGAATCTACTCCGCCTTTATTTTCATTGTAGTAGGAAACTATTTCGGGCTTTTGTACTAATGGATCATCAAATCGTCTGTTATGCATGGACGATATTAGTATCGTGGCTTTTCCAATTTTACCAACATATGAAATCAACGTGCATTCTTTCCTGAATCCATACAGTGTTGAGTTAGCTGCTCTTTTCTTATTGGGTTGAAAAGATTGTGGTATTTCGGCCTTATTTTTTTTTAGTCAAATTATTTTTCCATAACAGATCAACTACTTGTATGGAAGAATACCAATTGTCAGCTGTAATATTACGATTGCTGTTAAAGATTGGTTTCGCTAAACGTAACACAGCTTGAGTAGGCTTTAGTAACCTCTTCTCTTCACCATTGAGACCAAAACTATCAGAATCTTTTCCCGTATAGATGTATGCGTTATATAGATAACTGTTTCGTGCGTCGGTAAGGCACTGTATTTTGAGGCCGTACTTTGCCGGTTTATTAGGTATGTACACTTTGAAGCGGCACCTTCCTCGGAAGCATTTCATCTATTGTAACAGACTGTCCAAGTCCATAAACATTTTGACAATTTTCTACAAATGTGTTGAATATAAATGAAATTGCTGCAGCCGGATCGTTCTTCTTCCGCTCTTCCCTGTCCTGAGAATTGTCGAATCGTATAGCCGTCAAAAGAACAGCAAATCTCTTCTTACTCATGACTGCTCTAAATATTTCTCTTCCACTTCCGTCCGTTGCGAATATACGGTCTATATTTTCATGACTCGAATTGAATATCGCCGTATATACTAGAAGCCCTAAAAATGCCTTCAGCTCAGTGATATCTGTGTCTGTTACATGATGTCTGGATTGTATAGAATATCTCTCACGAATTGAACTTAGTTTTTGGTTGGTGTGCTGTAGAATATGTTGAAACATTTTGTTATCGAAAAGCAAATTCCAGATTGGCAATGGATTCGCAGCATCATCGAGGTTACGTGCTTTTGATTTTAGAATCGGAATTTTTGTTATAATATTATGCTTTCGGGTCCGAGATGAAGGCAAAACTTCCGACGTACACCATCTATACCGATTTTTGCCATATAAATACTTCTTGTTCTCATTATCTACAATATTTACACTTTCATCTACGAAGTCCTCGCTAGCAGACAGTTCTGAATCGCTATCGTGCTCTAATTCAATTAGGTTGTCTTCCGATACGTTATCTATGTCGCTGTCGCCGCTGTCTGTAGTATTTTCGTACCATTTTAAAAGAGCTTTATCAAAATCAGGATCGTCACAAACCACTCGTTTTGAAGACCCGGCCATATTTCGGTAAATCTACCACTAACAAAAAAGTTACACAAATGGACCGACGTAGTCTGAGAGACTATTATAGATATCTTACCCGTTATAACTTTTAAGCCGATGTTACAATCACGGTACAAATTTGTATACTAATGATGCTCAGAGAGGTGGGAGATTAGGCGGAAGGACAGGTTTGTACACGCTTTTAATAACCGCTGAGAAACAAGTATTTCAATCGCGTAGTCTGCTGGACTACACCGGACCAGTTAAGGGTTAAAGCCGCCCAAAAACTAAGGTACGTTATTCTATTGTGTAGATTTTGATTAATAATTGGATTCTTTTCTCGTTGTACGCTTTTTTTTTTATTTTTTTTATCCTCGTTTTCATTTGCAATTTTATTTCTACTTCTATCATTTGAAATTGCTATTGCTGCGTCATATAATTGTTTTGTGCCAATGGTTTGGTGACATTTCAACCTTTTGAGACCGTGGTGACCTTGGAAATATCGAATGGGTTGGCATCTCTGGTTGAAAGTTTAGATTTGTTGACATTAACCTACAAGACGTAAATTTGGTGGAACTTGGAAATTTGGAACTTGGAAGTTTGGGGGAACAGAGAAATTTTGGAGAGAACGTGAAGATCTGATTATCGAATAAATTAAAGGATCAGATAAGATATATATATATATATATATATGTTTCATATTTTTTTTTACTGGATAATTTTCTTATAAGTTTTTTGTTTTCGAATTATAATTACAATTTTTTTTGTGTACTTGGTCGCATTTGAGGAGTAATTTTTTGATACGTGATTGTTGATTTTGTTTAAACGAATTTAAACGAATGTTTTGATTTTTATTTCCATATGCGATCTTGTTTAATCTTTACATGTGTAACTTCGATGAAATCTATTATTTGCTTAAACATTTATACTGAAACGTTGTTATCTACGATTGAGAGGAATTGATATTTTATCAATATATATATGTTTACCAACATCATTTCAATATTATTTCTCCGATTAATTGACTTGTTATAATATATTATTTGTTTATGTGTCTCTGGTTTCGGATTTTATTGGAGTGTGTGCTATATTTCTGGTAGGAACCAAGGGATAAAATCCGTGGCGCCCTTAAAAAAAATTGATCGAACTCACCCGTCTCGACTGTTTCAAAGCTAGCTTGTGGTAGGGTTTCTATTGGGAATTGCTCTGTTTTTGAGTGTGTGTAAGTAAGGCGCGACAGTTGTTAATCTGTTTTTTTCATTCCTATACCTCCTTCTATTTTAAATTTCAATTTTTGTTGGTAAGTATAACTTTATTAGTCGAACGTTTGTATCATAATATCTACAATAATTTTTTATCATTCTATCATTCAGCACCCACTGCAATTAGATTTTAACGTTCTTTTCATCAAGCGATGTAAATATACATGATTTTTTATTAAAATAAAATAAATTTATGTATGAATCTTTTTTTATCAAGATGTCTCAAGACGGTTTTAGTCAAATTGATTTAACTGCTCTCGGTTTCGCCAGCAGCCAGGAGTCATTCCTTTTAAACAGTTTTGACATAAACCTGTTGAACATATCGACTGTTGAGAAGGCGCTGGATCCAAACGTGCAGCCTAATGAGCAGCCGATGGATCCTAACGTGGAATCTAATGCGCAGCAAGATCCGTCGCTTCTGAACGTCGCAGGTTCCGCGAATGTCGACGATAAAAATGTGAAACGCCTTTCACTTCGTCGGAATTCGGGGAACCGTGAACATTGGAAGAAGGCTGCAGGTGTGTGGGTACCGTCAGAAAAGTATAGAGAGGAAAGACAAGAAAGAAGGGAGGCACGTGCTCGTTCGCGACGTAGCCAACGCAAGTATGTGTCAGTTGAACCAGCGACCCCGTCGAAGGTTGAAATGACACAGTCGAAAGTGGTTATCGAGAACGACTCCGATAAATCCGACGACTCTCTTGCTTTAATAGCGGTATCACAACACTGTAGTACCGTAAACCGGAAGTATCTTAAAGCTACTAAGGCTTCTTCTTCTAAAGCTTCATTAACTCCTGCTCCCGTTACTAACTTAAATATTCCTAACACCGAAATTCCTTCGTTAAGCCCGCAAGTACACATCTTAAGGGTTGACAATATTCCTGCTAATATTCCTGCTACTTCAGATATTTCCGATGTGTCTGCCAGCCTTTTTTCAAACGCAATGTGTACAGCAGTAGAAACTACCAAAGGGGTGATTTTAGCCGAAATTAATAGTTTATACCCAAATTTTTATAAAGACCTTCATGAAAAGGTTCGTCAATTGCAAACCTCTTTGAGAGAGCTCTCTTTGAGAATATCGCTCGACATCACCATAGCATCATTAACCTGTGAAATTAAAAAGGCTGAATCTATTTTATCTAGTTTCACTACTAATAGCGTAAACTTTCCTTCCTAGCTTAAAGATGACATGAGAGTCAATCATATGATCAGATTGTGTGAATTGGAGCAGAAAGTTGCCTCGTTGGAGGTAAAATTAGAAGCTATATTTAAGTTGGTACGTTATACTTATAATACTTTTTTCCATGTCATTAATTTTATCTTCTCAGCTGCAGAGCGTGTCAGAATCGGCAGTGGTGAGGGGTGAAGTGCATGTGCAAAACATGCACATTAACCGTTGCACTACATCTGTTGGTTCACCGACTCCGGCAACGACTCCGGCACCAGCAGCACCACCTCCTTACGAAGAAGTAAACCAAATATATCAAGACGAGGAGGAGGAGTGGTAACTACTCCTTCTCCTCTTTTTTTAAGTTAATTATTAAGTTGATTATTAAGTTAATTATTAAGTTAATTATTAAGTTAATTATTAAGTTAATTATTAAGTTAATTATTAAGTTAATTATTAAGTTAATTATTAAGTTAATTATTAGGTTAAATTGACATTATTTTATAGTTATTGATAAATATAGTATGTATATAAAGTTACTTTTGCTATATTTTTATTCAGTCTTATCCTGTTAATGTCATAATTCATTTAGTGCGAGAATCATGATCGATAAGAAACTAAAGTGTTTACCGCAACCGCTAACACTGCCAATACTAAATTTTAGTAAAGGTACGACCGAAGAACACTTTACAAGACACAGTAATTTATTTGGTGGAAGATGTAAGCGAGGTTTAATTTTAGGACCCTCTGGTGTCGGAAAAACAAATGCTATGTTATCGCTTTTACTTGCACGTAATGGCCTGCGCTTCCTAAACTTATACTTATGCTCCAATTCGTTATACCAAAATAAGTACGATTTTTTAAGACGTTTAATTGAACCTATAAAAGATTGCGGTTACTATGAATTTTCTAATATAGATGAGTTCATTCGACCGGAAGATGCGAAAGAATATTCGATAGTCGTATTTGACGATGTTTCCTGTACAGGTCAAAATGTCATTAAGGAATTTTTTTCGTATGGTCGACATAAAAACATTGATTGCTTTCTAATTTGTCAAAGTTATAGTGCAATTCCAAAACAATTAGTTCGCGATAATTGTAACTTTTTGGTGTTATTTAAACAAGACTTAACAAATTTAAAACACGTATTTGAAGATCACATAATGAGCGATATGGAGTTTCATCGGCTAAAGGAAATTAGCGATGCTTGTTGGGAGAATAGACACGGCATCCTAGTTATTGATTTAGATTGTAGTGTATCTAAGGGACGTTACCGTAAGGGTTTTGATAAATTCATTGAAGTTTAAAACTAACGACTTCAGCTGTACAGTTCGTAGTAACTTCACATACATCATACAATGAACAAGACGATAGCTGCAGAACTTATCGCGGCACGAGAAGTCGTGAGAGACAAAATTCGTTCTTTAAAAGAAGACTTAGAGGAGTCAAGGATTCGGTCGGAAACCGCATATGCACCCATCGCAAGGCCCTTACAGGATATTGTCGCAAAACTTGACACTGCGCCTTTACTATCCATTCCAAAACGAAGTTTATCTCCAAAAGAAGAAAAATTGATATCTAAGATACAACGCTACTCGCCGGATATTTCTGACGTACCAGCTAAAACCGAGACCGAATATTTTATTCGAAAACCGAAAGTTCCATTAAAAGAACAACGACGAAAATTTGCTACATCGACTCCTGAAAAAAGGTTGGTATCTTCTCCCACGTCTTCTCCTCTTGGTCCATTAGCTCATGCAGAAGAAGAAGTATATGAAGTTCCGCCGGGCGAAGAAGAAGAACTCCTCGATTCTAGCGAGGATACCGGAGCTCTTATTTCGGACGCACATAATCGAATAGAACGACTTAAAGATGAAATAGAAGAAAGATTGGAGTCTCCAGAGGTACAAGCCGCTTTGAGTCAGTTTCATCCTTTGCCCAGAACGTATATAACTGATTTACTGATAACTGATTAACTGATTTAAAAGATGATTATGATCGTTTATACGGTGTTCGCGAAACTCCCGAAGGTTTCTACATTAGAGTCAGTCCTGTTCACTTTGAGGATCAGGATATTCACGTAGGAAACTTCAAATATACGGGAACCGTTGGTTTATATGATTTACTATTTAAAAACGAACCGGGCAAATTTACAATTCAGAACATGCGCAACTACAAAGATATCTTACTACGTTCAAATGCTCCGTACATTAATTACATTCCAGAGGTAGGTATGACTAATGAGGACGACAGTGAGAAATTTCAGAATATTATCAAGCCTATCGTTGAAGGTAGCAAACCCAAGGTGCATTGGGCTAAATACTGGCCGAATCCGAAGAAAAAAGTCGGTGGTGTATTACAAAAACAAGTCGTCCCTGGGGCTCTTATCGAATACGAGTACTGGGACGATCCCAACGAACTTGTCGATAGACTGCGTTTGTTGGTGGCCTCGCAAACGGCAGGTCATTCTGCACATGTCAATGAAATATCATCGATAATATCGGAGCTAACGGAGGCCGAGATTATAAGTTAAAATAATATCATAAATATACGACTCTCACATCTTTTGTTTTAAACCACCGACGTTTATGAACCAGAGAAGATGAGTTTAAGCAAGTTCGGAAAACATTCGTCTAGTATGACGATCGATAAGTTTGGTAAACACGTACACGGACACAACATTGCTGCTCATTTTAAGAAACGTGAAAACGTACAACAATATTTCAAACAACCAACAATACTTACGTTTAGCGGAAATGGAACTACGGATACAACGGATAATTATTACATTATTCAAAATTTAGGTTAAGTAAGTAAATATATAAACTTTTTCTATATTGGTGAAATAGTGCATCATCGATTTGAAGGAGACGTTGAAATGATTATTAACGGGAGTATCTTCGATCCAAATAAAAAGTTAAATGTTCTCTCCTTTGGAGATAAAATAGTTTGCAAACCCAGAACGAAGACCACTTTACTCAAGAAACCATTTATGGTAGAACTGCTCATTGAAATATCCAGAAAATGAGCGATATTAAAAGGTCCGTCGTAAACGAGTTGCACGCGTCCGCGAGGAAAAAGTATAAACGCAGACGTGTTATTATAAAAGGTTTAACGGACTTATTTCAAGCTGATTTAGTGGAGATGATACCTTATTCAAAAGCAAATGGTAATTTTAAATATATTCTAACAGTTATTAATGCTTTCTCAAAGTATGGATGGGCTGTACCACTAAAAAACAAAACTGGCAAAGAAGTTACGCGAGCTATGGAAACAATTCTATCGGAAAAGCGGAAAAACATACCGAAGAATCTGCAAACGGATAACGGAAAAGAATTTTACAATGAGGATTTTAAAAAGCTCATGTCACGATATCACATCAATCACTACAGTTCATTTTCCAATTTAAAGAGTTCTATTGTTGAACGGTTTAATAGAACAATAAAAGAAAAAATGTGGAAAGAATTTAGTATGCAAGGTAACTATCGTTGGTTGGAATTGCTTCCCAAATTAATTCTGGATTATAACAACCAAGTTCACAGGACGATAGGAATGAAACCTAGCGAGGTAAATAACAGAAACGCATCGACACTGTTAAAAACTGTATATAATTACATAAAAATTGTCGATCCTTATACCAAAAAATTTAATGTCGGTGATCACGTCAGAGTGAGCAAGCATCGACACGCCTTCACCAAAAACTATACTCCCAATTGGTCTAACGAAGTGTTTACAATACATTCTGTTCGTAATACTTTCCCAACAACATATCTGCTCAAAGATGCATCCAATGAAAAAATTATGGGTGGTTTTTATCGAGAGGAATTACAAAAAGTTAAATATCCTGACGTCTACTTGGTGGAAAAAGTGCTACGGCGAAAAGGAAATCAAGTGTTTGTGAAATGGTTAGGATTAGGTCCGTCTCATAATTCTTGGATCTCAAAAACTAACGTTCTTTAAAACGTATAAAGACCTATTTAAAAGTTTACAAGACTTTATTAACAATCGAACATTACAAATACATTATTATTATTATTCTTTACAATTTTTTTTAAATTAAATTCATTTATTCGCATTCAATCTTTTTATCAACCAATGACCCCACGCCAAAGTATTACATCCGTTCGGTAATATGTATCGTTTATCATCGCACGATGAAAGAGCAATTTTATTCTTTAATTCGGTATACATAGTATGAAATTCTGACTTAAAAATGTACATTTTTTTATGAACCGATCCGCCACATTCAACCACACGTTTATAATCGGTCACGCTTAAATGTTTATCTATAACATATTTCTTTACTCCTTTAGCCTTTTTTACATTATCATTCAACAAGGTGATGCAGTACGCCTTAGCTCCTGTTCCAACAAATGACGTTATGCACCTGTTTGGATATTCATCTTTCATTCTTCCCAACACAGATCGACCGCGAGGTATATTGTGTATATTCTCTAACGGATAATTGGACGTGTCAAAAAATTCAATATTTTCTTTTATATCCTCATATACATTGGGAGTAGTAATTTCTAGGATTAGGGAATCAGTATCGGTGTATAAAAGTGTTATGTTATTTCCATATTTAACTTTTAAGTAATCATAGAAGAAGCTGTACATTACGGTTTTCGAAAGCTCTAATATACTGAAACCCACATACAGCGGTTTGCAATAACGAACTTCCGCGACGTTCAATTGAACGGCTATCAAATTATCGCAAAATATTTTCGAAGATTTAAAATTTGGTTTAGCTATTAGGGCTTCCACGCCCGGTTTCTTATGACGACATTCCCAGTGGGTAACTAGTCTTATATCCACTCGCTTTTCCACATTTTCCATTGTCTTACCGTATACGATGTTATTCATTGCTTTGTAATGAATTGAAATCGATGTAGCTCCGCATCCAGTTGGATTGTTTAAATTCTAATACTCTGTAAATCTTCGTTAGTTTCAATCCGAACTTGAGACACTGCTTTAGATTCACGTAATGAATGATGTATTTTCTTTTATTT